CATCCTGAAGTGGAACTTGAGCTCTGGAGGCAGAAGAGCTAGGCTTGCATAATAGTTCCTCCAATTATTATTGGAGAATCTGGAGTGTTCAACCACCATAAATTTCAGTTTTCTCAACTATAAGGCGGGGAAGATGATAAACACTTATTTTACTGGGTTATGAGAAAAAAATGAAAAAATACAGGCGAAAAGTCTAACTAGTAAAGTGCTATATAAATTAGTTTGTATTTTAAATTACAGTGTGTTCTTAAAGATTTCTGGGTAAAGATGGCAGAGTGAAGCAAAATCACACAAACAGTCCCTTAGATGACTCTCAAAACAAAGTTTTTTAAAAGGTAAAATACTTCACCATTTACTAAACAGTAAAGAATTATAATTGCACACAATAAACTTTGAAAAGTAGTAACCAAGAATAGGAACACAGATTGTAGTCAAGAACTGAGATTCCTGGTGGCTCATGCCTGTAATCCCAGCACCTTGGGAGGCCGAGGCAGGTGGATCACGAGGTCAAGAGATTGAGACCATCTTGGCCAACATGGTGAAACCCCGTCTCTATTACAAAATTGTTAGAACTCTAATACGCTTTAATTTGTAGAAAAACAGACAGGGGAGGGGAGAGGAAAGAAAGGAAAAGAACATATGAAAGACAGATAAGACAAAGTATCCATCCTGGAAGAAAACCTAATAAAAGTCTCTATAAGTCCTTTGCAATAGAAAGTAGCATTATAAGCTCAATAAATGTGATCAAACCTGATGATAAAAATACAGAATGAAATGAAAAATGAAACTACAAAGCCAAGGAAACAGAGGACTGTAACAACATCATTACAGATACAATAAATAAAATCAGAAACAAAGGAATTGAATCAGGTTGGTTGTGGTGGTTCATGCCTGTAATCCCCAGCACTTTGCAAGGCAGAGGCAGGCGGATTGCTTGAGCCCAGGAGTTTGTGACCAGTCCGGGCAACATGGCAAACCCTGTCTCTACGAAAAAATTAGCCAGCATGGTGGCGCATACCTGTAGTCTCTGCTATTTGGAAGGCTGAGGTGGGAGGATCACCTGAGTCCAGGGGGTCGAGGCTGCGTGAGCCGTGACCACACCCCTGCAATTCAGCCTAAAAAAAAAGGAATTGAATTGTCTACAACTAAACATTGGCAGAATTTTAACTGTAGAACAGAAAGCAAGTATTATAAACCCTGACAAAGTTAAATTCACAAGTGAGAGAGTAGTGGAAGAGTGGCAGGAAGGGAGGGTTGAAAATCCTCCATCTCTCATGGTAAGGCATTAATTAATGCTACTAACAATTTGAACATAATACAAATGAACAGAAACAACATGACTACAACTTTTAATTGTTTTCTATAATTATTTTCCTCATAATGATCTTTTAGTAACTACTATATTCGATGGTACGAAGTACTTGTTTCAAGGTACTGTCTTCCATTTTACTTTAATTTTTGTTCTAATTCAAATGAAATTAAAGTTAATACTTTAACTTAAAAGTTATATGATCCCATTCTTATCAAATGTTTTCTCTCCCTCTCATACCTTCCCCCCAACTTCTCCTCTCCCCTGCTCATTTATCCAGCTATCATTCTCCATACATCGTTCTTGAATACACATAAAGATGCCTGGAATGGTGTTCACCAAAGTTAAAAAGCAACAGCTTTTTTAAGTAGGTTGTTGTTGCTGTTGTTGCTGTTGGTTAGAGACAGGATCTCACTCTGCTGCTCGGGCTGGAGTGCAGTGGCATCATCATAACTTGTTGCAGCCTTGAACTCCTGGGCTCAAGCAATCCTACCACCTCAGCCTCCCAGGTAGCTGGGACTAGAGGCGCACCTCACCACACCTAGTTAATTTTTTTCAATTTTTTTGGTAGAGAGAGGGTGTCTTGCTTTGTTGCCCAGGCTGGTCTTGAACTCTTGGCTTCAAGCAATCCTCCAGCCTAGGCCTCCCAAAGTGCTGGGATTACAGGTGTGAGCTACCATGCCTGGCCTGTTTCTTTCTTTTTACGATTTATTTTCTTCTTTATTTTTTGCTTATTACTAAAATACATTAGGTTTTACTTTTAAATAATGCAAAAATAAAGTCACCGTTCTTAAAAAGAGAGAGGGAGACAAGGAGGGAGGGGATATTCTTTTATTATGGTCATGTTAGTTTATTTGAATGAGGAATAACCTAGAAGCTGTCCATCCTCCTTACTCTCTAAAAATCAAAGGCTGAGTCCTTGATACTAAGACAAGATCTCCTGACACCAAACGTGGTGAAATTTACAAGTCTATTAAATAATTAATAAATAGAACACAGACACCTTGTCTCAAGGATGAAAAAAAGGTAATGGCTATATCTTCATAACAAGTTACTTTATGGGTTGCTCTTACATACCTTGATGGAGCTCCTATTTACTTTTTTGTGGTTCTTAAGGAACTACAGAAGAGTTTTGGTTCTAAAGCCTCTGCTCACCTAATCTCAGGACACTCTGCAAAGTAGGTGGCAATGCAGCCAAAAGCAGAAATGGTTCCAAGCTGAGTTCTGTACTCGGTCTCCATTCAGAGAGTTCTAGATGGTCCCACCTTCTTGGCCCTTCATCTGTTAGTTTTGTGCACAATGTCAGAACAACGTGTAAGACCCACATTAGTAGTGTTCTGAGAGGCACAGCTGACCACACACATAGTGTCAAATACGTATGTGAAGAGATAAATGTGATGGTTCTACTAAAAAGCACAAAATGAAACCCAACTTATCAATAGTCTTGTACTATTAAATACTGAGATCAATATATTCTATACATAAACTTGCTTAAATGATTTTGCACAACTCCCAGATCGATTAGTAGTGAAAATAAACAAGTCAATACATCATTTAAAATGTCACTTTTAAACATGAAATTTGCCATGAAAGACAGCTTGGCCCAGACTAATTTTCAAACTTACATCAGTTTTAAAGGCAGTGACACTCAGCGATAAAAGGTACAAGAAAATACTTCTGTCAGAGCTTACTACAGAAACTTTTCCTGCTTCCAGCAGAAAACTGTTTGGAAAGCCATTGCCTGGTTTCTACAGCTGGCAAGACCCAATGTATTCCACACACAATGGAACCTCAATTACTAATTTCACATTTTTATGTTTTAATTCTGCCTTTCAAGAAAACGCACTTAATCTGGATTGTAAATTATCAGTAATATTTTTGTACTTCACTGAGAAGACCGTAATTTTAAGAGGCTCCTCCTCACATCTTCAATAACTTTAGCCCCAGAATGAAGTAAGTCAAAATAGTTTTCAAAACTCAGTTTTACAAAATTTAGTTTTATATACTTACAATGTGGAAAAGGAAAGGTGTATGCATGTCTGCAAGGCATACGTAAACATCTTATTGATAACTGTTGCAGTTTTCCTTTTAGCATGCTAACTAGAATGTTTGACAGGGTTAAGGATGTGGTTATGAACAAATGAGGGCATGTTTGTTGTAAAATGCAAAAGCCTAAGGCCAATTTTATACTTCTGCTGTTCCACTCCGAGAAACCAAATGTGACCTGGGAGATCTATGTTTTCCAACCTCCTTTTAGCATTAGAGTACACAAGAGCATTAACTTGAACCTGGACACAAAGACTTATTTAATTCAGTTATTAACCAAGATCTCTCTGCTGCCTTTCTTCACCAGCCGTTCTACTGCAGGTCAGTTTTTTTGTTTTTCATGGGTTTTTTTGGCTTTTCTTCCCTTTCAGAAAGATCTGTTTCCATTTTATACCTCAGTAACCCATCATTATTTACCAGCGTTATCCCCACTTGTTGCTCTTGAATTCCTTCCTGCACAACACTTGGACAAGCTGAATATTGGCAATATAAATCTGGATTTTCTTAAATACTTCAAATTTCTAAATCAGTTACTAATAAAACTTTTATTTATTTTGTTATGGTTTGATATTAAAAATATTCATTTTGATCAACTATCTCTCCACATTAAAATATTTTACTTAATGAAAAAAAGTGATAAAGTATAAACATTTATGAAAACATTATTTTCTAAATAAAGCTACCTCTAGTCCCCTGTGTGAAAAAGAAGTTTCATCTCAGATCTTCCCAGTTCCTGGTCATCAATTTTTTTGTTTTTTTTTTTTCCGAGATGGCGTCTCGCTCTGCTCACTGCAACCTCTGCCTCCTGGGTTCAAGGGATTCTTCTGCCTCAACCTCCCAAGTAGCTGGGACTACAGGCGCGTGCCATCACGCCTGGCTAATTTTTGTATTTTTAGTAGAGACGAGGTTTTACCATATTGGCCAGGTTGGTCTCAAACTCCTGACCTCGTGGTCTGCCTGCCTTGGCCTCCCAAAGTGCTAGGATTACAAGCATGAGCCACCGTGCCCAGCCTCAAATTTTATATATATATATATATAAAAAATAGGACGGCCATGGTGGCTCATGCCTGTAAAAAATTCCAGCACTTTGGGAGGTTAAGGCAGGTGGATCACTTGAGGCCAGGAGTTCGAGACCAGCCTGGCCAACTTGGTGAAACCCCATCTCTACTAAAAACACAAAAATTAGCCAGGCGTGGTGATACACACCTGTAGTCCCAGCTACTCAGGAGACTGAGGCACGAGAACCACTTGAATCTGGGAGACGGAGGTCATAGTGAGCCGAGATCCCACCACTGCCTTCCAGCCTGGGAGGCAGAGTGAGACTGTGCCTCCAAAAAAAAAAAAAAAAAAAAATTTGTAAAAATAGGTGAAAAATATTTTGACTTTCTCACATATTAAATAGACTGTCTCATGTACCACAGATGCACACAACTCACTTTGGAGATTAATGCTGTTTGGAGATTAATTAATGGCAACACACATTAATCACTAGAAAACCACTTTCTCTGTAACTGAGCTTCCCTCTCATATATCCAGGTTAAAAACTTTCCCTCTCCACTTCTCACCATAATACCCAAGAAAATACATTGTGGTGTAGCATTCATTTGAAATGAAAAGCAATTAAAAAAAAAAATCGCTAACTCACATCTCTGGAGAACTTGGCTGAGGTTGTCTCGCATTGTGTCTCTACATTTGGGAAGAGTATGTTCATTTGTTTCATGGATCATATTCTTCAAATTTTCAAGAACTCGCATTTCTCGAAGACCACGCTTTTCCTATTAAAAGAAAGTAAATGACTAATAAATATGGTGTCTTTTTCTTTTTTTTGTTTTTGAGATGCAGTCTCACTCTCTCACCCAGAGTGGAGTGCAGTGGTGTGATCTCAGCTCACTGCAACCTCCACCTCCTGAGTTCAAGTGATTCTCCTGCCTCAGCCTCCCAAGTAGCTGGGACTACAGGCTACAGCCACTATGCCTGGCTAATTTTTGTAATTTTTTTCTTTTAGTAGAGATGGGGTTCCACCATATTGGCCAGGCTGGTCTCAAACTCCTGACCTTGTGATCTGCCCACCTTGGCCTCCCAAAGCGCCAGGATTACAGTTTGGAGCCACCATGCCCAGCATATTGTGTCTTAAATCTTAGTAATTACTTTCTAAGATACCCACCCAGGTTTTGGTTGTTAGGTTATGACTTATTACTGAAAATTTATGCAGACTCCTTCTAATTATTTGGCAATAAATGCCTCATAACCCAGAGGCATTTTTAAAATTATGAAATGCTCCAAAAGTTGCAATATGAGTAATATTTTTATAGCAATGTTAAAAAATTGGCAAGAGAAATACTAAAAGAACCAGAAAAATGGCCCAGATTGCCACATATTTTAGTAGAAGGAAATTAAACACCCCTGATCTGATCTTAAATTTCATTTTGTCATTCTTACTATCATATAGCTTCTATTATTATGTGCTATATTTTTTATCTGATTCCTTTTTTTTTCTCAAAATAAAAACGGGTAGTAAAAGTAATATGTAGATACTTCCCTATATAGAAAAGAACACTGAAGGCCTGAGGCTATTATCATTAGAAAGACCTCCTCATACGGTTGGCCCTGGCTTGGGGCTGGAAACTTGACTAGTAAACAGTTCCCTATGTTGGTATAAAACCCTTCCATAAATTACAAAAGTGGTTCACTGTGCCTGAGTGGTTTACACCAAGCTTGTCCAACCCGCGGCAGATGGGCTACAAGCGGCCCAAGACAGTTTTGAATGCAGCCCAACACAAATTATAAAACTTCCTTAAAACACTATGAGATTTTTTGTGTGATTTTTTCTTTTTTAGCTCATCAGCTATTGTTACTGTTAGTGTGTTTTACGTGTGGCCCAAGACAATTCTTCTTCTTCCAGCGTAGACCAGGGAAGCAAAAAGATTGGACACCCCTGATTTACACAAACAATGTGATTAATGTTGAATACCTCTTTCCTTCTGGAAGTCTGAAAATGTACATGCCAGGCAGAGGATGCCTCCTTGACCAGCCCCCAATAAAACCCCTGGACACCTAGGCTCAGGCAAGCTTCCCTGTAAGATTACACTTTACATGTGTTGTCACAACTTGTCACAAGGGGAATTCAGTGCATCCTGTGTGACTCCACGGGGGGAGGACTCTTGGACACTTCTACCTGGGTTCCTCTAGACTGCTTCTACCGGGGTTCCTCCAGACTGCTTCCCAAGCACCTTTTCCCTTTGCTGACACTGCTTTGTACTCTTTTGCCATAACAAAGCTTGCCACAAGTATGGCCATATGCTGACTTCTGTGAGTTCTTCTAGTGAATCACTGAACCTGCAGGTGGTTTTAGGAACTCTGAAAACATCTCCATTACAGAAAGTAGAGCAAAACCACCCTCCCTGCCCAAAATGAGGGTGGGCTATACTTAGTAACTTGCTTCCAAATAATAGAACAGGGAAAGGGAAAAATAGTAACATTATAGTAGAGAAAACTAGCAACATGATAGTTGAGAAAACCAGCAAATGCAGTAATACCTCAACCAAGCCAAGAAGGTTCATATTATCAGTGGTGTCATGTTGATAGCACGCACTCCTTGATATAATGTGATAAGGGTACTTTACCTTTGTGGTATTCTTTCCCAATACCCAAAACCCCAGTCTAGTCATGAGAAAAACAACAGACAAATCCAGATTGGATACCTAGCCAGTACTCAAGACTTATGTAAAGGTCATAAAAAATAAGGAAAGGCTGAGGAACTGTCACAGACCAAAGACTAAGGTGGCATGATGATTCAATGCAATGTGGTACCCCAGATTAGATTCTGGAACAGAAAGGGGATTGTAATAGAAAAACTGGTAAAATTCAAATAAAGTCTGGTGTTTCATTAACAGTAACGTATCAATGTTGGCTTCTTAGCTTTTACAAATGCAGCATGGTAATATAAGAAATTAAATAACGAAAGAAAGTGGGTGAGGTGTTGATATGGTTTGGCTGTGTCCCCACCCAAGTCTCAACTTGAATTGTACCTTCCAGAATTCCCACATGTTGTGGGAGGAACCTAGGGGGAGGTAATTGAATCATGGGGGCCAGTCTTTCCCATACTATTCTCGTGATAGTGAATAAGTCTCTGAGAGACTTATCATGGGTTTCCACTTTTGCTTCTTCCTCATTTTCTCTTGCCACCACCATGTAAGACGTATCTTTCAGGCCAGGCACGATGGCTCACGCCCGTAATTCCAGCACTTTGGGAGGCCAAGGCGAGTGGATCACGAGGTTAGGAGTTTGAGACAAGCCTGGAAGCCTGGCCAACATGGTGAAACCCTGTCTCTACTAAAGATACAAAACAATTAGCCAGGCGTGGTGGCACGTGCCTGTGGTCCTAGCTACTCAGGAGGCTGAGGCAGGAGATTCCTTTGAACCTGGGAGGTAGAGGTTGCAGTGAGCCAAGATTGTGCCACTGCACTCCAGCCTGGGCGACAGAACGAGACTCCACTCCCCCCCCAAAAAAAAAAAAAGGAAGTGTCTTTCACCTCCTGCCATGATTCTGAGGCCTCCCCAGCCATGTGGAACTGTAAGTCCAATTAAACCTCTTTTTCTTCCCAGTCTTGGGTGTGTCTTTATCAAGCAGAGTGAAAACAGACTAGTACAGTAAATTGGTACCAGTAGAGTGGGGCGTTGCTGAAGATAGCAGAAAATGTGGAAGCGACTTTGGAAATGAGTAACAGGCAAAGGTTGGAACAGTTTGGAGGGCTCAGAAGAAGACAGGAAATGTGAGAAAGTTTATCAAAGCTGAATGGCTTTGATAAAAATGCTGATGGTGATATGAACAATAAGGTCCAGGCTGAGGTGGTCTCAGATGGAGATGAGGAACTTGCTGGGAACTGGAGCAAAGGTGACTCTTGTTATGCTTTAGCAAAGAGACTGGTAGCATTTTGTACTTGCCCTAGAGATGTGTGGAACTTTGAACTTGAGAAAGATGATTGAGAGTATCTGGTGGAAGAAATTTCTAAGCAGCAAAGCATTCAAGAGGTGACTTGGGTGCTGTGACAGGCATTCAGTTTTATAAGGTAAGCAGAGTATCAAAGTTCGGAAAATCTGCAGCCTGACAATGTGAAAGAAGAGAAAATTTCATTTTCTGAGGAGAAATCCAAGCTGGCCGCAGAAATTTGCATAAGTAACAAGGAGTCCAATGTTAATCCCCAAGACAATGGGGAAAATGTCTCCAGGTAATGTCAGTGGTCTTCATGGCTGTCCCTCCCATCACAGGCCTAGAGGCCTAGGGGGAAAAAGTGATTTCACAGGCCAGGTCCATGGCCCCCGTACTGTGTGCAGCCTAGGGACTTGGTGCCCTGTGTCCCAGCCGCTCCAGCAGTGGCTGAAAGGGGCCAACATACAGCTTGGGCTGTGGCTTCAGAAGGTGGAAGCCCCAGGCTTTGGCAGCTTCCAAGTGGTGTTGAGCCTGTGGGTACACAGAAGTCAAGAATGGAGGTTTGGGAACCTCTGCCTAGATTTCAGAAGATGTAAGGAAATGCCTGAATGCCCAGGCAAAAGTTTGCTGCAGGGGCGAGGCCCTCATGGAGAACCTCCGCTAGGGTAGTGCGGAAGGGAAATGTGGGGTCGGAGCCCCCACACAGAGTCCCTACTGGGACACTGCCTAGTGGAGCTGTGAGAAGAGGACCACCGTCCTCCAGACCCCAGAACGATAGATACACCAACAGCTTGCACCACGCACCTGGAAAAGCCGCAGACATTCAACGCCAGCCTGTGAAAGAAGCCAGGAAGAAGGCTGTACCCTGCCTCCCGGCCACAGGGCCGGAGCTTCCCAAGACCACCCACCTCTTACATCAGTGTGACCTGAATGTGAGACGTAGAGTCAAAGGAGATCATTTTGGAGTTTTAAAATTTGACTGCCCCACTGGATTTCGGACTTGCATGGGCACTGTAATCCCTTTGTTTTGGCAAATTTCTTTCATTTGGAACGGCTGTATTTACCCAATACCTGTACCCCCATTGTATATGGGAAGTAACTACTTCGCTTTTTATTTTACAGGCTTACTAGGTGAAAGAGACTTGCCTTGTCTCAGTGGAGACTTTGGACTGTGGACTTTTGGGATTAATGCTGAAATGAGTTAAAACTCTGGGGGACTGTTGGGAAGGCATGATTGGTTTTGAAATGTGAAGATGTGAGATTCGGAGGGGCCAAAGGTGGAATGACATGGTTTGGCTCTGTCCCCACCCAAATCTCAACTTGAATTGTATCTCCCAGAATTCCCGGGAATAGAATTCCAGGAATTCTATTGTGGGAAGAATCCAGGGGGAGGTAATTGAATCATGGGGGCCGGTCTTTCCTGTACTATTCTCTTGACAGTGAGTAAGTCTCACGAGATCTGATGGGCTTATCAGGGGTTTCTGCTTTTGCTTCTTTCTCATTTTTGCTTGCCGCTGCCATGTAAGAAATGCCTTTTGCCTGCCACCATGATTCTGAGGCCTCTCCAGCCATGTGGAACTGTAAGTCCAATTAAACCTCTTTTTCTTCCCAATCTTGGGTATGTCTTTATCAGCAGCATGAAAATGAACTAATACAGGGGTACATGGGAATTATCTGTACTATCTTTGCAATTTTTCTACAAATCTAAAATTAATACAAAACAAGAAGTTACTAAAAATAGAGTGGTAACCTTGACTATGAAAAAATAATAGGTTAGTTATGTTACTGAAGTGTTTTTATTTTTTTTGAGCCATTCTTATATGGCCAGCTTCTTACTTTTTCTAA